GATCCGGAGTCTGAGACCAGGAAAGGCAGCAGGCAGAGATGATCTCCCAAGCGAAATGCTGAGGGAGGGTGGCGTTTGTGCACAGACTGCCCTATATGACATCATAACAAGTCTGGACCACTGGACGGGTTCCGCAGGATTGGAAGGATGCCCTGGTGGTCCCCCTTTTTAACAAGGGGGACCACACAGACTGTAACAACTACAGGGGCATCTCACTCCTCAGTGTGCCGGGAAAGGTCCAGGCAAGGATTATTCAACATCGCCTTGCCAGGCACGCTGAGGAGAGGCTTGCGGAGCCCCAATGCGGTTTCAGGAAAGGGCGGTCCTGCACAGATGCCATATTTTCTGTCCGTCTGCTACAGCAGAGGTGTAGGGAATTCCAACAAGACCTACATCTCTGCTTTATTGACTTGGTCAAGGCCTATGATACCATCAGTAGGCCTGGGCTCTGGGTTGTTCTTCGTGCTTTTGGAGTACCTGACCCTCTGCTCACGATCATTAAGGACCTTCATGATGGTGAGCGGGCCCGGGTAAAACTACGTGGCCGGGAGTCAGAGCCATTCCCTGTACACCTTGGGGTGCGACAGGGATGTCCTCTGGCTCCCACATTATTTAACATCTATTTTGACCATGTAGTTCGTGAAGCCTTCAATAGCTGTACTGGGGGAATCTCCATATGGTACAGATATAATGGGAGGCTGATCGATGCCCGGGTGCGGTCAAGGGATGGCTCCCTATTGCTCAACCACGTTATGTATGCTGATGATTTGGTAATAGCTGCTCATTCAGAGGAGGAGTTGGAGACGCTGCTGCTGAGACTGGAGCGTGCCACTAAGAGGTGGGGCCTTACCATCAGCCCCACCAAAACTAAGCACCTGCTTGGGTATTTTGTACCATCGGACACTCCACCCCCACAACTCCCAATCGGTGATGGGGCAGTTGTGGAGCGAGTGGAGAGTTTCCCATACCTGGGCAGTGTGCTTATGACCGGCTCCAGTTTAACAGCAGAGGTCTCACTCCGAATCAGTCGAGCGGCAATATCTTTTCATCGGTTGCGTAACGCTGTCTGGAAGCTACCTGGTCTGTCGCTCCGCACTAAGTTTCAGGTCTTCTCGGCCACGCTCATTCCCTCCCTTCTCTACGCTTGCGAAACGTGGACCCCCCTAATGGAACATCTTCGCCGGTTAGAAACATTTAGGCTGGCCTGCCTACGATCCATCCTGGGTTTAACCAGACTGGATTGTGTGAGGAGCTCACAAATCTTTGAAAGATCTGGGCAAGGTCCCATCGGTGAGCTCCTCCGGCAGGCAAGGCTGCGATGGCTGGGTCATGTAGCCCGCATGCCCAGCCACCGCATGCCGAAACAGCTTTTGTTCGGCCGGATTGAGGGGGCTAAATGGGCGCGGCACGGGCTAGAGAAGAGATGGAGTGATGTGGTACAGGAGGACGTGGAGTTGAGTGGACTTGCCAATGACTGGTACCAGCGGTGTCAAGATCGGCCTCTGTGGAGGAGGCTCGTGAAGGACGCTACTGGGCAGTTGGAGGTAGTCGCCCTCCAACAACAACGGAGGGCGGAGGAGCGACGCTCACAACAACGAGCGGAGCGCCGGGTGGCTAAAGCACAGCAGGTTGGCACAGTAGGGGGCACAAGTGGTGCATCAGCCAGTCATCTCAGTCAGTCGACCCGTGGCACCTGGGTCTGCCCTGTGACCTCCTGCCAGCGGGCGTTCGACACTTCACGTGGCCTCAGGGTGCACATAGTCTGGCACAAGCATCGTGGTGACGTCACCGCCACTTAGTGGTGAATGGCGGTTGTTGTTGATGATGGTGGTGGTGATGATGGTGGTGGTGATGATGATGGTGGTGATGGTGGTGGTGATGGTGGTGCAAATAGCGATGACAGTGGTGGTGATGATGCTGCTGTCGACAGAGATGATGATGGGATGTCGTCAATGCACGCGACTTCCTCTATGACGTCACAGGCGACTTCCTGCGTGACGTCACAGGCGACTTCCTGTGTGACGCCACAGGTGACTTCCTCTGTGACGTCACAGGCGACTTCCTCCATGATGTCACCGGCTAGGAGGCACGTGCGGCCAACATCGGTGGCCCGGCGATATCCGAACCAGTCCCCTAGGTCGACTCAGCCTTAACACTGTCGTGGTGTGTGTGTGTGTAAACGTGTAAACATCAGCACAAAGGCGGCCGGGCCCGCCATGCCGGCCTTCACAAGGCGCTGCCGTTCGTGAACAGCACTTGCCCCCAAAAGTATCGTGAGGCTACACGGGGGATCTTTGCCTTCACAAGGCGCTGCCGCCCGCTCACAACACTTGCCCCCAAAAGTCTCGTGAGGCTACACGGGGGATCTTTATCTTCATAGGCGCTGCCACTCGCTAACAGCACTTGCCCCCAAAAGTCTCTTGAGGCTACACGGGGGATCTTTATTTTCATAGGCGCTGCCGCTCGCTAACAACACTTGCCCCTAAAAGTCTCGAGGCTACACGGGGGATCTTCGTCTTCATAAGTGCTGCCGCTCGCTAACAGCACTTGCCCCCAAAAGTCCCCCGAGGCTACCCGGGAGATCTTTGTCTTCATAGGCGCTGCTGCTCGCTCACAACACTTGCCCCCAAAAGTCTCGTGAGGCTACACGGGGGATCTTTATCTTCATGGGCGCTGCTGCTCGCTCACAACACTTGCCCCCAAAAGTCTCGTGAGGCTACACGGGGGATCTTTGCCTTCACAAGGCGCTGCTGCTCGCTCACAACACTTGCCCCCAAAAGTCTCGTGAGGCTACAAGGGGAATCTTTGCCTTCACAAGGCGCTGCCGCTCGCTAACAACACTTGCCCCCAAAAGTCTCGTGAGGCTACACGGGGGATCTTTGTCTTCACAGGCGCTGCCGCTCGCTCACAACACTTGCCCCAAAAGTCTCGAGGCGACACGGGGGATCTTTGTCTTCATAGGCGCTGCTCCTTGTGAACAGCACTTGCCCCCAAAAGTCTCGTGAGGCTACACGGGGGATCTTTGCCTTCACAAGGCGCTGCCGCTCGCTCACAACACTTGCCCCAAAAGTCTCGTGAGGCTACAAGGGGAATCTTTGCCTTCACAAGGCGCTGCCGCTCGCTAACAACACTTGCCCCCAAAAGTCTCGTGAGGCTACACGGGGGATCTTTGTCTTCACAGGCGCTGCCGCTCGCTCACAACACTTGCCCCAAAAGTCTCGAGGCGACACGGGGGATCTTTGTCTTCATAGGCACTGCTGCTCGCTCGCAACACTTGCCCCAAAAGTCTCGTGAGGCTACAAGGGGAATCTTTGCCTTCACAAGGCGCTGCCGCTCGCTAACAACACTTGCCCCCAAAAGTCTCGTGAGGCTACACGGGGGATCTTTGTCTTCACAGGCGCTGCCGCTCGCTCACAACACTTGCCCCAAAAGTCTCGAGGCGACACGGGGGATCTTTGTCTTCATAGGCGCTGCTCCTTGTGAACAGCACTTGCCCCCAAAAGTCTCGAGGCGACACGGGGGATCTTCGCCTTCACAAGGCGCTGCCACTCGCTCACAACACTTGCCCCCAAAAGTCAAGTGAGGCTACACGGGGGATCTTCGTCTTCACAGGCGCTGCCGCTCGCTCACAACACTTGCCCCCAAAAGTCTCGTGAGGCTACACGGGGGATCTTCGCCTTCACAAGGCGCTGCCACTCGCTAACAGCACTTGCCCCAAAAGCCTGTCGAGGCTACAACGGGGGAGCCTGTGTATTTGTTTTGCAAGCAGCACGTTCGTCCCGAGTGGCCAACGCCACAGGGTCGGTCGGAGAGGAGAGGTCAGAGAGGTCATAAGGGAGGTCAGAGAGGTCAGAGAGTAGGTCAGAGGTCAGAGAGGAGGTCATAGAGGAGGTCAGAGATCAGAGAGGTGAAAGAGGAGGTCAGAGAGGGCAGAGAGGAGGTCAGAGAGGAGGTCAGAGAGGAGGTCAGAGATCAGAGAGAAGGTTAGAGAGGAGGTCAGAGGTCAGAGAGGAGGGCAGAGAGGAGGTCAGAGGTCAGAGAGGAGGGCAGAGAGGAGGTCAGAGATCAGAGAGGAGATCAGAGAGGAGGTCAGAGGTCAGAGAGGAGGTCAGAGATCAGAGAGAAGGTCAGAGAGGTCAGAGATAAGAGAGAAGGTTAGAGAGGAGGTCAGAGATCAGAGAGGAGGTCAAGGAGGAGGTCAGATCAGAGAGAAGGTTAGAGGGGTCAGAGGTCAGAGAGGAGGGCAGAGAGGAGGTCGGAGAGGAGAGAGACGGTCAGAGAGGAGGTCAGAAGTCAGAGAGGAGGGCAGAGAGGTCAGAGATAAGAGAGAAGGTCAGAGAGGAGGTCAGATCAGAGAAAAGGTTAGAGAGGAGGTCAGAGAGGAGGGCAGAGAGGTCAGAGAGAAGGTTAGAGAGATCAAAGAGGAGGTCAGAGAGGAGGTCAGAGATCAGAGAGGAGGTCAGAGGTCAGAGAGGTCAGATAGGAGGGCAGAGAGGAGGTCAGAGGTCAGAGAGGAGGTCAGAGAGGAGGTCAGATCAGAGAGAATGTTAGAAAGGAGGTCAGAGGTCAGAGAGGAGGTCAGAGAGGAGGTCAGAGAGGAGGTCAGAGGTCAGAGAGGAGGGCAGAGGTCAGAGAGGAGGTCAGAGAGGAGGTCAGAGATCAGAGAGGAGGTCAGAGAGGAGGGCAGTGAGTAGGTCAGAGGTCAGAGAGGAGGTTAGAGATCAGAGAGGTCAGAGAGGTTGTCAGAGATCAGAGAGGAGGTCAGAGAGGAGTTCAGAGGTCAGAGAGGTTAGAGAAGAGGTCAGAGGTCAGAGAGGAGGGCACAGAGGAGGTCAGAGGTCAGAGAAGAGGTCAGAGATCAGAGAGAAGGTTAGAGAGGAGGTCAGAGATCATAGAGGAGGTCAGAGGTCAGAGAGGAGGTCACAGTTTGGGAGATTTTGGCCTTCACCACCACGCTCCATTGCGTTACCCCGCGCCCCCCCGCCCCCCCCCCCCCCCCATCACGGGACCCCCGGCGGGGGCCCGGCGCAGGCCCCCCCGTCCTGCAGGCGCTGAGCGGCACACAAGACGCGGAAGCGCTCGCGCAGGTTGCGTGCCCGCACGTGGTAGTTGGTGATCTCCTCCACGTAGGACGCCGGGAACCATCCACGCTGGTCGTCCGCCAGGCGCACGCCCTGCATCCAGCCTGCAACGCCACAGACATCAACAACGTCAACAACGTCAACAACGTCAACAACTACAACAACAACAACAACAAGGTCGTCCGCCAGGCGCACGCCCTGCATCCAGCCTGCAACGCCACAGGCATCAACAACAACAACAACGTCAACAACAAAGTCAACAACAACGTCATCCGCCAGGCGCACGCCCTGCATCCAGCCTGCAACGCCACAGACAACAACAACGTCAACAACAACAACAACATTAACGACAACAACGTCAACAACAACAATGTCGTCCGCCAGGCGCACGCCCTGCATCCAGCCTGCAACGCCACAGACATCAACAACAACAACGTCAACAACAATAACAACATCGTCAACAACAAAGTCAACGTCAACAACAACAATGTCGTCCGCCAGGCGCACGCCCTGCATCCAGCCTGCAACGCCACAGACATCAACAACAACAACGTCAACAACAATAACAACAACGTCAACAACAAAGTCAACGTCAACAACAACAAGGTCGTCCGCCAGGCGCACGCCCTGCATCCAGCCTGCAACGCCACAGACATCAACAACAACGTCAACAACAACAACAACAACGTCAACAACAAAGTCAACAACAACAAAAACAATGTCGTCCGCCAGGCGCACGCCCTGCATCCAGCCTGCAACGCCACCACCGCCACAACCACAGACATCAACAACAACGTTAACAACAACGACAACAACAACAATAACAACAACATTAACGACAACAACAACAACGTCAACAACAACAATGTCGTCCGCCAGGCGCACGCCCTGCATCCAGCCTGCAACGCCACAGACATCAACAACAACGTCAACATTATGAGACCTCCTTTGCCAGAAAAAAGATATAGGAATAGGTTTTACCCTTTTAACTGGCGTCTTCTGGTCCAACACCAATGGAGACTAGGCTCTAAGAAAAGCTGTCTCGGGTGTGGACCAATCAAATTCAAGGACAGTGCATATTATTATCAGAGTTGTCTTTTTTGTTTGCATTTTGACTGCCTGTGTTGTGGTCATTGCAAACATGATGCCTTGAATAAAGGTGTCAGTTTTTGTGCCAGTTAAAAGGGTAAAACCTATTCCAACAACGTCAACAACAACAACAACAACTTTTTTTTTTATTGTTTTATATATATTTTGTTATTTTGTTGTTTCTCTTCAACGTGACTTTACCGAAAAAACTAAGAATATGAACAACAACAACGTCAACAACAACAACAATGTCGTCCGCCAGGCGCACGCCCTGCATCCAGCCTGCAACGCCACCACCGCAACCACAACCACAGACATCAACAACATCAACAACATCAACAACAACGTCAACAACAACAACAATGTCGTCTGCCAGGCGCACGCCCTGCATCCAGCCTGCACCACCACCACCGCCACAACCACAGCCATCAACAACAACGTTAACAACAACGACAACGTCAACAACAACAACATTAACGACAACATCAACAACAACGTCAACAACAACAATGTCGTCCGCCAGGCGCACGCCCTGCATCCAACCTGCAACGCCACCGCCACAGCCACAGACAACAACAACAACAACAACGTCAACAACAACATCAACAACAACGTCAACAACAACAATAACAACAACAATAACAATATCAAACGGCAACAACAACGTCAACAACTTCAACGACAACTTAGCAACAATAACAACAACGTCAACAACAACATCAACAACGTCAACAACAATATCAAACGTCAACAACGACCACAACGTCAACGACAACATCATCAACAAAAACCTCGACAACAACAACTAAAGCAACGTAAACAACAACAACAACAGAGAGGAGGTCACTCCCCACCAAATGGAGTGGGGGGTGGGGGCTATTTTTGACTTCAGGAGAAATCCGATGAGCTAGGAAGCTCTTCTACTTGCAGCTGTCCAGTAGGGGCCACGTGGTAAGAAAATTAGTGAATGGGTGAGCAGTGAATGGGCGAGCAGTGAATGGGTGAGCGCAGAGGGTGAGTGGTGAGTGTATCGGTGAGTGGTGAGTGGTGAGTGTATCTGTGAGTGGTGAGTGTATCAGTGAGTGGTGAGTGTATCGGTGAGTGGTGAGTGTATCAGTGAGCGGTGAGTGTATCGGTGAGTGGTGAGTGTATCTGTGAGTGGTGAGTGTATCGGTGAGTGATGAGTGGTGAGTGTATCGGTGAGTGGTGAGTGTATCGGTGAGTGGTGAGTGTATCGGTGAGTGGTGAGTGTATCGGTGAGTGATGAGTGGTGAGTGTATCGGTGAGTGGTGAGTGTATCAGTGAGTGGTGAGTGTATCAGTGAGTGGTGAGTGTATCGGTGAGTGGTGAGTCCATCGGTGAGTGGTGAGTGTATCGGTGAGTGGTGAGTGTATCGGTGAGTGGTGAGTGTATCAGTGAGTGGTGAGTGTATCAGGGAGTGGTGAGTGTGTCAGTGAGTGGTGAGTGTATCGGTAAGTGGTGAGTGGTGAGTGTGTCAGTGAGTGGTGAGTGTATTGGTGAGTGGTGAGTGTATCGGTGAGTGGTGAGTGTATTGGTGAGTGGTGAGTGTATTGGTGAGTGGTGAGTGCATCAGTGAGTGTTGAGTGTATTGGTGAGTGGTGAGTATATCAGTGAGTGGTGAGTGTATCGGTGAGTGGTGATTGGTGAGTGTATCGGTGAGTGTATCGGTGAGTGGTGAGTGTATCTGTGAGTCATGAGTGGTGAGTGTATCAGTGAGTGGTGAGTGTATCAGTGAGTGGTGAGTGTATTGGTGAGTGGTGAGTGGTGAGTGTATCGGTGAGTGGTGAGTGTATTGGTGAGTGGTGAGTGTATTGGTGAGTGGTGAGTGCATCAGTGAGTGTTGAGTGTATTGGTGAGTGGTGAGTATATCAGTGAGTGGTGAGTGTATCGGTGAGTGGTGATTGGTGAGTGTATCGGTGAGTGGTGAGTGTATCGGTGAGTGGTGAGTGTATCTGTGAGTCATGAGTGGTGAGTGTATCGGTGAGTGGTGAGTGTATCAGTGAGTGGTGAGTGTATCAGTGAGTGGTGAGTGTATCAGTGAGTGGTGAGTGTATTGGTGAGTGGTGAGTGGTGAGTGTATCGGTGAGTGGTGAGTGTATTGGTGAGTGGTGAGTGTATTGGTGAGTGGTGAGTGCATCAGTGAGTGATGAGTGTATTGGTGAGTGGTGAGTATATCAGTGAGTGGTGAGTGTATCGGTGAGTGGTGATTGGTGAGTGTATCGGTGAGTGGTGAGTGTATCGGTGAGTGGTGAGTGTATCTGTGAGTGATGAGTGGTGAGTGTATCGGTGAGTGGTGAGTGTATCAGTGAGTGGTGAGTGTATCAGTGAGTGGTGAGTGTATCAGTGAGTGGTGAGTGTATCGGTGAGTGGTGAGTCGATCGGTGAGTAGTAAGTGTATCGGTGAGTGGTGAGTGTATCGGTGAGTGGTGAGTGTATCAGTGAGTGGTAAGTGTATCAGGGAGTGGTGAGTGTATCAGTGAGTGGTGAGTGTATCGGTAAGTGGTGAGTGGTGAGTGTGTCAGTGAGTGGTGAGTGTATTGGTGAGTGGTGAGTGGTGAGTGTATCGGTGAGTGGTGAGTGTATTGGTGAGTGGTGAGTGTATTGGTGAGTGGTGAGTGCATCATTGAGTGTTGAGTGTATTGGTGAGTGGTGAGTATATCAGTGAGTGGTGAGTGTATCGGTGAGTGGTGATTGGTGAGGGTATCGGTGAGTGGTGAGTGTATCGGTGAGTGGTGAGTGTATCGGTGAGTGGGTCAGTGGTGAGTTTATCGGTGAGTGGTGAGTGGTGAGTGTATCAGTGAGTGGTGAGTGTATCAGTGAGTGGTGAGTGTATCAGTGAGTGGTGAGTGGTGAGTGTAACAGTGAGTGGTGAGTGTATCGGCGAGTGGTGAGTGTATCAGTGAGTGGTGAGTGTATCGGTGAGTGGTGAGTGTATCGGTGAGTGGTGAGTGTATCAGTGAGTGGTGAGTGTGTCAGTGAGTGGTGAGTGTATCAGTGAGTGGTGAGTGTATCGGCGAGTGGTGAGTGTATCAGTGAGTGGTGAGTGTATCGGCGAGTGGTGAGTGGTGAGTGTATCAGTGAGTGGTGAGTGTATCGGTGAGTGGTGAGTGGTGAGTGTATCGGTGAGTGGTGAGTGGTGAGTGTATCAGTGAGTGGTGTGTGCATCGGCGAGTGGTGAGTGTATCAGTGAGTGGTGAGTGTATTGGCGAGTGGTGAGTGGTGAGTGTATCAGTGAGTGGTGAGTGTATCAGTGAGTGGTGAGTGTATCGGGGAGTGGTGAGTGTATCGGTGAGTGGTGAGTGTATCAGGGAGTGGTGAGTGTATCAGTGAGTGGTGAGTGTATCAGTGAGTGGTGAGTGGTGAATGTATCAGTGAGTGGTGAGTGGTGAGTGTATCGATGAGTGGTGAGTGTATCAGTGAGTGGTGAGTGTATCGGTGAGTGGTGAGTGTATCGGTGAGTGGTGAGTGTATCAGTGAGTGGTGAGTAGTGTATCAGTGAGTGGTGAGAAGTGTATCAGTGAGTGGTGAGTAGTGTATCAGTGAGTGGTGAGTGTATCGGTGAGTGGTGAGTGTATCGGTGAGTGGTCAGTGGTGAGTGTATCAGTGAGTGGTGAGTGTATCTGTGAGTGGTGAGTGTATCAGTGAGTGGTGAGTGTAGTGTATCAGTGAGTGGTGAGTAGTGTATCAGTGAGTGGTGAGTGTATCAGTGAGTGGTGAGTGTATCAGTGAGTGGTGAGTGTATCAGTGAGTGGTGAGTAGTGTATCAGTGAGTGGTGAGTGGTGAGTAGTGTATCAGTGAGTGGTGAGTGTATCAGTGAGTGGTGAGTAGTGTATCAGCGAGTGGTGAGTGTATCAGTGAGTGGTGAGTAGTGTATCGGTGAGTGATGAGTGGTGAGTGTATCTGTGAGTGGTGAGTGAATCAGTGAGTGGTGAGTGTATCAGTGAGTGGTGAGTGTATCAGTGAGTGGTGAGTGTATCAGTGAGTGGTGAGTGT